CAAAGCAGTCTGTAGAGAAGGAATCTGGAAACCAATGCTTTGTTTTCACATTTTACTGAGAGCTTCTGCAATAACAAATGAAGTCCAAAACCTGCTCAAAGCAGGGAATCTACTAAGAATGTCTTTCCTCATACACCAGGACTCTATAAGGTTAAATTCATTGGAAGGCCAAGTAAGAAACAAAACCATCCTCCTATTTTCCCTACCTCAAGCCTTTAATCCTAAATATCTCAAAACAGTATTATCTAGAACAACATTATGTGCACGTTCAAAACCTCAAATTAAGAACTTAAAAGTCATATACACTGATAATGCTCCAGGTGCTGACTTAGTTAATCCTTCCTGAAGTACTCCCACATTCACAAGCTCAATGCTTAATGGGGGAAAAAATCGTTTGAGAAATAAAATATCCATAGGTTTAATATAAGTAGGATGGAGCAAAAGAGCTCCACATACAAATACAGCAGACGAATTATCAATGATCTTTAAATAATCACAGCAGATTTTCTTCAGATGACTGTCTCACTAGCACCTGACTCACCAAGAAAAGGAAAAGTGACAACTGACATCATCTTCAATGAAGGAAGAAGGAAAAAAGGTACATTGTTTTCCAAAGAACATACCACCACACCTTGTGCTTAACTGTGGTTGTTGAGAACAGGAATTATCACTGGCTGGGTATGAGTTTAAAGGCTGTCCTGCATGTTTTCATTCCCAGCAGTTACTGCCCAGGCCCAAATAGTTCCTTTAGAACTATGTATGGAAGAACAGTTAGGGACTTCAAGGGGTACCTTCTACATATATATTTTTTGAGTGTTCCCTTGTGCTAGCTCTCTCTTCTTAGAACTAACTCTGCCTTCTGGGAATTCCATCATGGCCAGAACAACACGTTCCATATAATCATACTACTGTAAATAACCGTGTAATCCCACTGACCTTCTCACAATTAAGTTGACAGAAGTAACACATTTTTGACACTTGAATAATATTAGCTTCATTTTGTTAGAAGTTAGAATGTTAAACGTTTCTGTTTATCAGTGAAGGACTACAAGATAGAAGAATCCTTAGTTTTATATAAAATGAAACAGGATCTATGCCAATTTGAACTATGGACAACAGCCAGTATTATAATTGTGTCAAGGAGGTTTCAATTATACATTAATTGCACGGTGAAGTCTCCAGCAGACACAATCAGTAGGGAAGACATCAACTGCAATGAGTCATTAAACAATGAGGAAAATGTTTTTAATTTGGAAGAAAAAACATGGACACAATCTATCCTAAAACTGTGGTCCATTTAACTGGCTTCTTTGTAGTAAGGTTAATAAGAAAAGGAAAAGGTTCTTTTTTTTTTATTTCTTCAAACTATAAATATTAGACCTAACAGCATTTTAAAATAAGGAGCTTTAAAAACTATTGAAATAAAAATACAAAGAGAAAATAAAAAATCCCAAGATCAAGTACAAGACAGCCTCACAGGAAATACAAAATATACCTTAAACAAGGAATTTAAAGTTGAGATAAAACATACATTACATTTGAACTCATAAAACACAACATCCACATACACAACACACACATACATCAAATGCTGAATTTTAGGTCAAGTCTCTATTTTCCTATCCCCCCCCTTATTTTTTTTTATTTACAATACCAAATCTTTAGATTAAGAGTGTATCTACAGTATTAGCTACAAAATATAACACAGGTCTCTGAAGAATCCAAAATTAGCTGAAAACTATATAAATACAAAAACAGAACCTAAACAGCGGCCAGGTGATATTTCACAGACTATCAATGATGGGAAGACTATAGTTGCGTATTAATTAGAAGGTGGAAAGGAAACATTCCTCCACAGGCTCCCTCTCCCATAATCAATTTCCTGAACACTTAGAACAAGGCCAATCATCTATTGACTAAATCTTCTCAAACCATAAGAAAAAGCTATCTTTCTTCCTCCAACTTGTTATTTTAGATTATTTTTTCAAGGATGCAATGATGAAAAAGTAACGAATATAGAAAGTAATTTGTATGTACTTTTACAATTTTAATTGTTATCAAATCTGTTGAAAGCTGGGTTAAAACAATATTATTTGTCCAGTTGTGCACTATTAAGATCTCATTAGGTGGCACATTCAATCAAAATACTAAAATTTAACTAAAAATATTTAATTCATTACTTATCTTTCCATACTTTCAATGAAAATGTTTATTGAAAATTATCATTCAAAAGCACTAAAAAATGTTAAGATAAAAATGATATGTGACTATCTGTGCATAGATCAGGCTCTTTGCATTATAAATGAGAGCTTTCAAATTGGAGGCATCTTAAACAAATAAATTAAATGTATAATAAACCTTGAAATCGACAAGAATTACCATTCAACTTCCTTTTGTAAGTAGTTTTAATTTACTTAAAAGCAATAAGACTTTCTGGAGAGGAAACTGCTTTTATCTTCTTCTTAAAAGGATTACAGCTATCAACAAAGTAGAAAACATGTTTACCGCGGTCAAAGAAAATGTTAAATGGGGGGAAGAGATGGCACAAAACGTCCATAAATCTGGGACACTATGAAAAGACCAAACCTATGAATTATGATTAACCTAAAGAGAAGAAACACAAGCCAAATGCACAGAAAATAGTTTTAACAAAAAATTTGCCCAAACTAACCAAGAATGTGCCTTTCAAAGTACAAGAACATATACAATATACAAAATACCAAAAAGGACAAGAAATTTCCTCACAACACATAATAAACAAAACACTAAATGTACAGACCATAGAAAGGATATTAAACGCTGCATGGCAAAAAGACTAATTAACATCTAATGACAGAATGTTAGAAAAACATCTTCCCAATGGAGATAATAAAAACCCAAAGTTTCAACAAATACAAGAACACTAAAATATCCTGTATCTTATTTGATGACCATTAATGAAAACTACCTACCAGCAACAACAAAAAATATACAAACTCATGGAAACTGAACTCACTATGGAAAAAAAAAATAAGTCAAGACAAAAATCAAGAAGGTAATTAAAAGCTTTTTAATTGAATGAAAATTAAAACAGTATAGCAAAACTTATAGGACACAATGAAGGCAGTTCTAAACATTAGTGCTTACATAAAAAAATGGAGAGATCTCATATTAGTAATTTAATGTTACATCTCAAAGCTCTAGAACAAGAAGAAATAACACACAAAATACAAACAGCAAGAAATAACCCAACTGAGGGCTGAAATCAGTGAAATAGAAACAAACAACAAGGAACTAAAGAAAGAGTTGGCACAACAAATATCAAAGAAATCTGCAGAATCCTAGAGGATATACTTTAAAAATCTGTACTCCGCTGAACTGGAAAACCTAAAAAAAAAAATGGATAAATTTCTACCAAAGTTAAATCAAGATCAAACTGCTAGAATGGTCAAGAACCTGAGACTGGTTAGACCTAATGCTACTATTCTGCTAAAAGGACAAAGCACTAATATGACTCTGTGGTGGTCTGAAAGAGAATGGCCCCCATAGGCTCCTATTTTTGAATGCTTGGTCTCCTATTATTAGAACTGTTTTAGAAAAATTAGAAATTTCGGCCTTATTGGAGGAGGTGTGTCACTGATAGCGGGATTTGTGAAGTTTCAAAAACCTATGTCAGTCTGGGTGGGTCATACTCTTCCTTTCTACCTACAATTTATGGGATGAGCTCTTAGCTATTACAGCTCCAGAGTCATGCTTGCCTGCCAGCCAACACCATGCTGTCAGCCATGATGATTTGAACCTGTAAGCAAGCTCCCAATTAAACACTTGCTTTAAAAGTTACCTTGGATATGGTATTTCAAAACAGGAACAGAGAAGCAACTAAGACAGACTACTAATGATATTGTTATACCCGTGGAGCTGTGCCTCATTCAACATCACCAGAGACATTTCTTTTTGCAGTAAATGAGAACTAACACAGAGACCCATAACTGGACAATGTGCAGAGAGTGAGACTTTGGAACACTAAATCATAATGGGATGTCTTTATCACACCTATCCCCTTAAAGTTCAGGGATGATGTATGTGGAAGAAGGTGTGGAAAGATTACAAGAGCCTACTCAATGTGTGACTCCAAGGAAGTTGTCTTCCATATGCAACATTCCTGATACAATCTAAACTCACAGAGACCATTGCAGCAAACATAAAGTTTGTACCAGTTCAAGCCAAAAGGGCCCCAGTGTTGAGACTGGGAAGTGAACATGGGTTCCTACCCCTAAAAAAGACGCTATCTACAGCAATTGATACTTACTGGAAAAGGGAAAACTACTATCCAATGGAGTCTTGCTGAGTATATTAACCACATCAGGATAGGCCCCATGCCAAGAACATGAATGGTATCAAGAACAGTATTTTTTGTACACTTTTTTGGCTCATTTTGTTTTATTTAGGCATTCTGTCTTACTGGTCTTTTCCTTGTGTGTTCCAGTTTCCATTTCTATATGGGTTGTTGGTTTGTTTGAGACAGACAGACAGAAAGACAGACTGACTGACCCACCAAGTATTGGAGTAGGTAAGATGGTGGGCCGAATCTGGGAACGTTTGGGGAGAGGAAAAGCATAATCAAAATATACTATATGAAGCAAACTTTTTACAATAAAGAAAATGTACCATGGAAAGGTTTAGAGAGAAGAAAAGAAAGGGAAAATGATATAACTATACTATAATCTCAAAAAACAATTAAGATTACATAGCAACGCCAACAGTGTCTCATAAAAAACAAGAGATTATTTTAAAAAAACAAATTTTAAGTGATCAGTGGTGGTGCACCCCTATAATCCCAGTACTTGAGAGGGAGATGTAGGCTCTCACTGTTCAAAGCCAGCCTGGTCTACAAAGACCGTTCCAGAACAGTCAGGGCTACATAGAGAAACCCTGTCTCGAAAAAACAACAACATAAAAATAAAAATATATAAAATAAAAAACCAACAACAACAACAAAATAAACATTATAAATTACTTACTTTAGATCCTGTAGAAGGTCTTTTGCATTAAGCATAGTTATTAAAGAAGTGGTAGCTGCAGGGATAATAATAATGGGCGTTCGTGATCCTGTAAAGAAAAAAATTTAAAGGTTAAAAAAATCATTATTATTAGTAAAAGAAATCACTTTCTGTATTATAATAATTTTTAAATTTATAAACTTAATTCTCTTGTGCTAAAATATTTTAAAATAAATTTAAAATTTTAATTTTCAATAACAGCAAAGATATTTATAGCCCATGTGGCTTATTTCTCACCAAGTAAAATACTAAGCAGATATACCCAAAATTGATGCACAAACATATGAGCCCTAATTCTGAAACCTAGCTCACCTACATTTACCTCCTAAAGTAAATAAAAGACACAATCATACCTTTCTTCTGATTTGGGGGCGGTCTTGCTTGAGAAACTGTAAACAGAAAAAAAAAATGACAACTGCTATAAGACAAAACAAAATATTTCCAACTTACAAAGGAAGCTTAATACTGATATTCATATGACTGGTGGTAAAACACAAGCCATCCCACATTTTATGCTTTTTACAAATACTAAAATGCTATGGCATTACACAATAATTTAGTATAAGAAAAGAATAAAAGAATAACAGAGTATAAGAAAAGAATAAATACAGTATAATTAGTGAGTTCATGGATGCCTGGATCTCATTAACAAAGAAAATAGTTTTATGATACACTTCTATAAATGTAAAGGCAGAGTACTAAAAGAACATCCAAAACAGTAGATTCAGAGTAAGGAAACTGAGGAAAGAGAAAAAAGTTATTGGGGATTAAGATCTGAAATAATTTTTAAGTTCTTTTCTTTCTTTAAAATGTTTTAATTTTTGGTCACAGAAAGATCATTAAAAGCAGTGAGTCAACTGCTTTTAATATGCAGCAGGAAAGAACGTTCAAATTTTACTATTTGCCTACACAACATCTTTTGAAATGCTTTTTTTTTCTCTTTTTTTTTTGGTTTTTCAAGACAGGGTTTCTCTGTGTAACAGTCCTAGCTGTCCTGGAACTAGCTCTTGTAGACCAGACTGGCCTCAAACTCACAGAGATTGGCCTACCTCTGCCTCCTGAGTACTGGGATTAAAGACGTGTGTCACCACCACCTGGCCTGAAATGCTTATGTCACATGGAATCTAGATGGTTTAATTTTAAAAAAAAAAAAATTGTATGATGCTATAATGAAGAACACAAGAGTGAACACTTAACAAGACAATGGACCTTTACAGGAGAAAAAAAAGAATAAACAGTAGCATTTAAAAATCAAATCATTTAGGAGAGTAGAAAGATCTGATGATAGACCGAAGAATGTGGTAATATAATCTAAATACACTGCAATTACATGAGATCAACCTGGAAAGGGGAGGGAAGGGGAGGGAAGAGGAAGGGAGGGGAGGTGGGGGGAAGAGGTGCTAACACAAGTAAACTGGAAGTGAGCAGGGTCCCTAAGACGAAATACAAAAGAAACTACCTGAAAAGTTTTTCTAGCCAATAGAGTTAGTCCACATGGAAATGTGGTTAAGCAACTCCAAAAAATTAAACTAATAAATGGTGGACAGTAAGAAAAACATTCAAATTCAGTGTCAGTTTTCAGAAACATTGCAACCTGTAATGAATCTCAAGAGTCCAGAATACACTCCATTCTTTAGGAAGCAAGATGTTACATCCTAATGAATTCTTTATACTCTGCATATTTTGTTGTTACTACAGAATACACTGCGCATCATCTTTCTATCACTACACAGATTGACTCACATATACACATTTGTAATCATTTTTTCCTCTTCATAAGGAAATGCATAAGATTTCTTGACTCATTTCTAAGACCATGAATAAATCTGAGTAGCTAGACCATATTATTTGTTATATAATACATTCTTAAAAAGCAGCATTTGGTGGAGGATAAACTGGTGATATTTTGAACAGAAATATGGGTACAAAAGAGAGAAAAGATGCTATGATAGGGAGATGAAAAAGGGAATCTATCTCAATGTCATTTCAGTCAGATTTCTTACTTTTCTACTAAGGAAATCTAGACCTAGACCCAAAAAAGTAAAGCAACATTTGCTAAAGTAAAGGCTCAGAAAACAAACTATGAGAAAAAAAAACTTTAAGAGCTCACACATGTACATAAAGTTTCAAAGTTTAGATAAAATAACTACCAACGAAGTAGTAATAGGCTCCCTAGAAGTATCAAAACAGGGACATGGTGAAGCTCATGTGGATAAACCCGAGTAAACAAAAACTGGAGCAGGCGCAGTAAGAATCCTGTGTGGTATGCTCATGGAGTTGCAGAATATTGTGAAAATGATTACACAATCAAAAGTAACCTAGTTTCAATGTGATAATGATGTATTTTCCAGACCTAAAGAAAAAAATCCTAAATTTCATATGGAAACATAAAAGATCTTGACTAGCCTGGTTTCAAAGCAAAATACAAAGTCACAGTAACAGCAATTGTAAGGAAACCAATACAAAAACTGAATGAGGACAAAAGAAATAGAATGGAAGACTCAAGAAATAAATCCACACAGATATATCCATCTAATTTGACAAAAGATATAAAAAAAGCATACATTGGAGAAAATAAGTCTCATAAAAAAATGGTATTGGGAAATAGCCAAATGCAGAAGAATGAAACCAGTTCCATCTTTCATACTATGGAGAGAGGGAGGGAGGGAGGGTAGGCAAGCAAAAAATTAACTAAAAATGAATAGAAGACATTAAGGGATGCAAAATTCTGAAAGTGCTACGTCACAATGAGTAAAATTTAAGAGCACAAGCACAGGAAGGATTTTTAAGGACCCCAGGCTCAAAAAATGATCCAAGCTCTGGTAAATGAACTACATAAAATAAAAGGCTTGCAAAGTGTGAATGGCCTACAAGAGGGCAAACCTTGTCAGCTGCACACTGAACTATAAAGAGATAAAGAAACTAAACACAGCCGGGCGCTGGTGGCGCACGCCTTTAATCCCAGCACTCGGGAGGCAGAGGCAGGCGGATCTCTGTGAGTTCGAGGCCAGCCTGGTCTACAAGAGCTAGTTCCAGGACAGGAACCAAAACCACAGAGAAACCCTGTCTCGAAAAAATCAAAAAAAAAACAAAAAAAAAAAAAAAAGAAACTAAACACACACACACACAAATATACACTAATCAATAAATAGGTATATTGAAATAAGATATTTCTCAAAGGTCTTAGTACAAATAACAAATAATGAAAAAAATTAAATCTCTTAGCACACAAGGAAATGCAAATAAAAACTACATTGTGATTCTCTATCACCTGTGAGAAATTTAACATTAAGAAAAACTATAGCCAGGGAAATGGCTCAATGGGTAAAGGCATTTGCTGACAAGTGTGACAATTGAGTTCAGTTCCCAAGACACATGGTGGAAAGAGATTATACTCCTAAAAATTGCATTCTGATTTCTATATATGTGCCATGGTATAGAGGGTTCTCCCTCCCTCCCTCTCTCTCTCTCTCTCTGTCCCCCTTCCCCCTAGGTTTTTTTTTTTTTAAGAAAACTATAGAAAATATTGGCAAGGACTTGATGGAGAAATGAAACACTTACACACTAAAGACACGAATGTAATTTACGGTAGCCACTATGAAATTCCACATGGTGGTCCCTCAACGAACACGAACAAAAAAACTAAACACAAATACCACAAGATCATGCTAGGTGTACCTCTGTTTGGATACTAAAAACATACATAAAAAATCAGGTATGTTGAAGAGGTGAGTGAGTACCCACGCGGCCACACAGTCCCGGGAAACTGAGTACAGGCCCCCTCCAATTCCCTAAGCCTTTCTGGCCATCCAGCGGGGTGATTCCCGGCTTCTGGCTTTCTTTACCACATTCCAGCCTGACTCCAAGCACTCCTTTTCACCAACCCCACACCAGACAAAGGTCTGATCTCCAAAATATATAAAAACCCAAGAAACTAGACATTAAAATTCTAAATAACCCAATTAAGAAATGGAGTACTGAATGAACAGAGAATTCTCAACAGAAGAATTTCACATGGCCAACAGATACTGAAGGACATGTTCAACTTTCTTAGTTATCAGAGAAATGCAAATCAAAACAACTTTGAGATATCATCTTACACTTGTCAAAATGGCTAAAATCAAAAACACCTATGATAGCCTATGCTGGAGAGGATGTGGAGTAAGGGGAACACTCATCCATTGCTAGTGGGAATGCAAACTTGTGCAACCACTTTGGAAATCAGTGTGGCAGTTTCTCAGAAAACTGGGAATCAACCTACCTCAGGATCCAGCAATACCACTCTTGGAAATATACCCAAGAGATGCCCAATCATAGTACAAAAGCATTTGTTCAACTATATTCATAGCAGCATCATTTGTAATAGCTAGAACCTGGAAACAACCTAGATATCCCTCAATGGAAGAATGGATAAAGAAATTGTGGCACATCTACACATTAGAGTACTACAGGAGTTAAAAAAAAATGACATCTTGAATTCTGCATGAAAATGGATGGAAATAGAAAACACTATCCTGAGTGAGATAACCCAGACCCAAAAATATGAATATGGTATGTACTAACTCATTAGTGGATTCTAGCCATAAATAAAGGACATTGAGCCTATAGTTTGTGAACCTAGAGAACCTGAGTAATAAGGTGAACCCAAAGAAAAACATATATAGATCCTCCTGGAAATTGGAAGCAGATAAGATCACCCCAGGCAAAAGTTTGGAGCGTGGGGGTGAGGGTGGGGTAAGGGAAAAGGGAGAGGGGGAGAGAGAAGGAAGAAGGGGACGGTTGAGGAGAGCTTTGGGGAGTGGGATAGTTGAGATGGAGGAAGGACGGATATGGAAGCAGGGAAGAAGATATCTTAATTAAGGGAGGCATTGTGGAATTGGCAAGAGGCTTGACTCTAGAGAAGTTCCCAAGAGACCACAGGGATTTCCCCAGCTAGGACCCTGGGCAGTGGAGGAGAGGGTGCCTAAACTGGCCTTGTCCCTTAGTCAGACCAATGACTAACTTGAATATCATCATAGAACCTTCATCTGGCGATGGACAGAGATAGAGAAAGAGACCTACAAGGGAGCACTGGACTGAGCTCCCAAGGTCCAGATGAAGAGCAGAAGGAGGGAGAATATGAGCAAGGAAGTCAGGACCACAAGTGATGGAAGAAGGTCATTGGTTAATTAAATAAAGAAACTGCTTGCCCTGATAGGTTAGAACATAGGTGGGTGGAGTAAACAGAACAGAATGCTGGGAAGAGGAAGTGAGCTCAGAGACGCCATGCTCCCCTCTCCCAGGCAGATGCACACGATGAAGCAAGCCGCCAGGTCAGACATGCTGAATCTTTCCCGGTAAGACCGGTGCTACACAGTTTATTAGAGATGGGTTGATCGGGTTATCAGAA